TATATATATACATACATATATATATACATATATATATATATACATACATATATATATACATACATATATATATACATATATACATATATATATATATATACATATATATTCAAAACAATGTAAAAGGCAACAAACTTTCATCCTTATTTGAATTAAATTTTGCTGCATAATACATATTGGCTTTTGACCGGGCCAACTCACAAACAATGATGAACTTTGGGCTGCCAAGTAGATAGGCTGGAAAGCAGGACAGTTGCAAGAACAAAAGCTGCAACTGCAATCTTTCTCATTCTTCCTGTGTGATAACTTTTTTTTCCTACATTCATGCTTTCAGATTCAAGCGATCTTAATGTTCCAATCCATGCAAATGCTCAGTGCTCTGCAATGTTAAGATCTAGAATAAAGAATCACTGATACTGCAAGTTAGCATCATTCAGAATGGATGCTACTTATCCTTGCTACCATATGATGCATTTCTTTGATGTGTTATGATTATGATAGGCAGAATTCTAAATGCTGATGCATAGCTCCTCTCTTCAAACAGCTACCATTCCATCTGCAGCAGCTACCATTCCATCTACCTTTAAAATTGCAGAACTGTATCTACTTTCTGCTGATTTATCCTCATCTACTACAGGCCAGCTGTTTCTTGATCTATCTACTGAGATAATTGAGGTATAAATCAACTTTTTATGCTTATGTGTGATATAAATCATCCTTCAGATATGTCCAACATCAGTTGCAGCAAGTGATGTCGCTTCATCGTTAGGAGAGCTTCCATGAGCCCCATCATCTTTGTCAGCTTTTCTTGGATAAGAACACTGCTGTTCTTTGTCTAACCTTTGGATCAGATCAGACACCAGTGCTCATCATCTCCCGATCTTCTTGCACTTTGAGGTAGCGAATGGAACGAGGCTGGTTACTAACTGTAATCAAAGTAATCAAGATAAGTCATTCTTCATGATGTATCCATCGTCTTGTGTGAACCTGAAGGATAAGGTTTAGTTTGATGTGCGGTCTCTGTCTGTGTTGGAAATAAGCCACATTTTGATTTTATTTGGAAATTACTCCGAAATACATTTGCTCGATTAGATGGTCATTCAGCTAACAAGTATTTACTTAAATTTTATATTATTTCTCCGTCATAGTGGATGTTGGGTCTTTCTATCGTTTAAGTAAAAACTTGATAAATTTTATATTATTTCTCCGTCATAGTGGATGTTGGGTCTTTCTATCATTTATCATAATGAAAAGAAGATTTGAAGCTCATAACCATGGGAAAACCTAAGATCTACTATGATGGAGAAGAGACATGAAATTCACAGTATCAAAAAGAAAATTTGAAGCTCGCTATAACAGGAAGACTTGAGATCCTCTACAACGGAGAAAGAATATAAAATTTACTATAGCGAAAATAAGATTTAAAACCCATCATGATAAGAAGACCCGAGATCCATTATAATAGAGAATAGATATAAAATCCATCACAGTAGAAAGAATATTTGAAGCCAGTCATGACAAGAAGACCTGAGATCCACTATGGCGAAGAAAGGATATAAAATCTGCCATGCTGGAAATAAAATTTGAAACCTACCACGATAGGAAGATCTAAGATCTGCTACAACGAAGAAGGGATATGAAATCCACCATGATGAAAAGTAAATTTGAAGCCCGCCACAGTGGGAAGACGCAAGATACACTATGGCAAAGATGGGACATGAAATCTGCTATGGCAAAAAGAAGATTTGAAGCTCGCCACGGTGGAAAGACATAAAATAAATCCACTATGATGGAAGCATAAGATAAAATGCATCCAAGAGGTAAAATACACTCGAGATGTATAAGTTAGGAAAACCCAATCAACATCGAAATAAATCTGCTATGGCGAAGGTGCAATGCAAAATACGCCCGAGACATGTGAGTTGGAAAAACCCGATCGACATTGAAATAAATTTACTATGCCGAAGGCATAAGACTGAATATGCCTAAGATATGTGAGTCAAGAAAACACAATTGATACCAAAATAAATCTGTCATGGTAAAGGTGTAAAGTTAAATGAGCTCAAGACATGTGAATCAAGAAACCTGATTGGTCTGCCATGATAGAGGCATAAGCCAAATGTGTCTAATGTGTGCGAGTCTACAAACCATTGTCACCAAAGAAAGATCACTATGATAGAAGTGCAAGCCTAATGATCTCGAGACACTTGAATCAGAAAAACCTGACCCCC